TGAAACAAGTCCCTGAAACGCAGTAGAAGCCAAGCATTTTTTTCAACCCCTGGTGTTGGCGAAATCCTTTGGCTCATCATCATCATCCCTGTAATTTCCTTCTGATGTCTCCTGTCCAATATCTTCATTTATAGATTGAGTCCCTTGATCTACACTGACCTGTTCTTGACCTCCATTAAATGATGCTCCGGGGCTCTCACCAAAGCCATTTCCATTGTTTCCACCGTCATAACCACCTGAAAAGCTATTGCCTGGACCGGAATAATTGCTGTTCGGAGTGTTTCCATAGTTAGCACTGCCATACCCCACGCCTCCCTCAGCAGGGGAACTGTTGTCATTTCCATAGTTACTGCCACCTCCATAGCTACCGTATCCACCAGCAGAAGTGTTACCACCAGAAAATCCACCACCATAATTGTTGGTTGGGTAACCTCCAGCACCTGCAGAATTTCCACCTTCCCCACCGTAGTTAAAGCCACTACTGTTACCATAGCCACCTCCTCCGCCTCCATAATTGCTGGCTGCATAACCTCCACCACCTGCAAAATTTCCACCTTCACCACCGTAGTTAAAGCCACCACCACCTCCACCGTAGCCACCTCCAAATCCAGCACGACGCTTTTCTGTTGCATAATTCACCCTTATCCGTCTTCCATGAAGATCCTGGAAAAGTTTACGCAGCATAAATTACCTTGGCACCATTAAAAAAATAACAAAATTGACCGGTGATAACATTAATTGCAGGCGATATCATGGTTATTGGCCAACACAAGATGGAATTGGCAGGTGGTCCGGGGGAGAGGGGCAAAAGGTAAGTTGGGAGAGGGGCAAAAGGTAAGTTGTAAGTATATTGAAGCGAGTCAAAATACAAGCGGTACGATTTGCTAGAGGACTCTCTCTCTCTCTACAAATAACCTTACTATGTAAAGTTGATTATGAGAATTACCCCATGAATCGAATAAACAAGATGAAAGGCGTTAAGGTACAAAGTGTTGTCACGAAGGAATTTGGTAATTAAAGTTCTGAGTGAAATATTGTCCTCTGAACTATGTATTACAAGTAAAAAGTGTCCCTTTCATATGAAATCCATATTTTGGTCTATTCAAGTTCTTTAGTTTTTGGATATTGATTAAAACCTATGTAATTTGTGTTCACAAGCATAATTTTCCAACTAGAAGTAACATCCTAAGTTGCTCGGACACGGGTGTGGGTGTCAGACACGGGTGTGGATCTAGAGGTCGGTCTTTCGAGATGTAAATTCTAAGATTCGGGGATACGGATCCTAGTACTAATACATGTGCGGGGATCCAGCTTAAAATAATTCAAAAAAAAATAAAAACATAAAAATATCTCTAAATTATGAGAAATTTTGTGGAATACTTACATATAGCTTGTAAAGTGTGAATTTCTTTTTTATTCTCAAGTTGTAGATAAGTAAAGAATTGATTTCCTAAATATGATATGCTATTTCTTCAAATTTACCTAGTTTTGGTTCTGATTTCGGGAATCATATTATATTTCGTCTCGAACTTTTCCATCTGTCGTGGTCAAAGTATCCAAAATTGTTTGACCAGATCCGGTACGGATCCCATACCCACCCCCATACTAGTGTCGTGTCGACACGGGTGCGGCACCTAAACTGACGTGTCGGAGCAACTTAGGTAACATCATACCTGGCCATCCATGGCCTGCAATGCACTTGCTGCTTCTTCACTTGATGGAAAACTGATAAAACCAAAACCTCTGGACCTCCCAGTATCACGATCCATAATAACTCTAGCTGCAAAGGAAGAGGAAATAGTTTATTTCCAAGTTCAACTAAACAACACGCAGCAAAAGAAGCCAGCTTCAGGAAAAAATTTCAGAGATGCAGCATACACGAATCTGTCACATGGGTCATTTCACCATCGCGTTTATAGTTTCACCAAGAACTAAATTGATAAAGAAACATGTCCAATTCAGACCAAACACTTCTTGTTTCATCAATAAAAAAACTGAACTCCAACTTCATAACTAATTTCAAAACAATGAAGGAGAATTGTGTATTCCGCATATTCACTATGCCTTCACAAATGTGATCTTCTGTGAGCGCTAGCTCATTTCTGTTGGCGATCACGGCAGCATTATTCTATTTCTTATGATCTTTTGGTATTAGCTAATGCTGCAACTATACAGTGATTCCTCAGTTTTTAAATATAGTGCATTGCTAAAATTTAAATCTACCTATGCGGAATAATAACCCTAGTACCTTCGATCACATCACCGTATTGGGAAAATGCCTCCTTCAGAGAGCTCTCATCAGTGCCATATGAGAGACCTGCAGGGGACAATAAGCCGTTATAGAGTAACCAAAAGAAGTTGAAAAATCATAGCAAATCCATACACAGAGACAAGATCCTCTCACCCCCAACAAAAAGCTTAGACGAAGACATGCTTCTTATTGCCTGGAAAAGCGACGCATTTGAGGCAGAGAGTTCCAAGTTTGAGTGTTTGCTTACACTCTGTTTAAGAATACTCCCAACTCTATTGAAAAAAGCCATCTTTAAACCTAGTAAAAACAAAACAGTATAGAGTCAGCATCACAAATCCAATCTAAAAATAAACATTACCGACCCATATTTAAAAAGATCCTTTTTCCTCTCAATGAAAAGTCAAAAAAGATACTGTTCTGAGCTCATTTACATCTATGCTCGATATTCGTCATACGATATGCGGGCATAAAATAAAGAATACAAAACATCCAAAAAACACCACGAATTTGTTATAGCAATCGTGATCACGCAACACATATCAAAAATGGTAAAAACCCTAATCTTATAAAAGCTAAAGAAGCAGTACAACAAAAGAAACAGATAGAAATTCTTAAAATTTGAACAATTAATTCGTTAAAGACCAAGCTAACGAGTACTATAATATGAATTAAAGGAAGCAGAAAAAACTTACCCTTGCTGGAATGATTCACAGAAGCACACTTCTTCGTTCGCTATCCCCACAGAAGGGTTTTAGAAGAAGAAGAAGGCTAAAGTTCAATAAATAGCCCAAAAATATCTGGGCCTTCGATTACAACTTGCTCATTCTTGGCCGTTCGATGAAATAGAATGATAGTATGGCGGTGGTCAACGGAACTTGGGTTCATGGTTTTTCTTTTTTATGGAACATTTTTCTGTTTCTTTTTTATATTTTCATTTTAGCCAAAAGGCTAAAAAAAAGGATTTTTTTAGGGCAATTGTTTAACCTGAAAAGATATTTTATGCACCCTAGTTAATAGTCATACACCATTAGTTGTATTGACTGGGTTAGTATAGTAATAGGCTCGTTTTGGTCATTTGGTGTAGGTGATTAGATAAAAATAATTTTACAAATCATTTTTGGGTATTTTATTTGGAGATAATATTTGTCAAATCTGATAGTGATGGAAGGCTGGACCCTGAAGGACAGGTNTCCCCCATGTAATAATCTTTTAATATTATATATTCTATTTGTTACCTCGATGCTTTATAATCTAAATTATGTGTTATCTTATTCTAATGGCAATTTAGTTCAGTTAAAATCATTTCTTGAATCTTGATATTTTGTTTAATGAAAATAATATAAAAAATTGATCTGCACTATATTATGGTACAATGTAGGGGTGCTTATCGGGCGGATTGGGAAGATAATTACGTTTAACGGTTCGACTTATCAGATGTCGGATTATAAATTAGTAATTCACTAACCATCCAATAAGACAACTAGCAGATTGGTATTGGATTAACGATTATCCGACAATTTATTGGCTAGACCGAATAGAATTTTTTTGAATAATCCTAGTCTTGTGAACACTAAATGGTCAAACATGATAAAGTGACTCGACTCCCTTGTTAGTATGTACTGCACTTTAGTTTATGAGGCTTGTTAACATTTGTTGTTACATGATAGAATCCGTTAACACTTTGTAGTTTGTACTACACTAATGCACTTATTGTAAGTATTTCTTTTGGCTGCAAAGCTAAATGTTTCATGTCCAAAAAAGAAAAGACTAAAAACCGGTCAAACTGATTTGAAACTTATATACAATCAAGCATGTACGTCTAGGTGGTTTTTTTATATATAAATCCTTTTGAAATCTCCAGAGGAGGTAGATCTGCATATAGTTAATGGGCATAAATAAAGATATGTATATGTTAGTGTGGGTATAATTTGACATGTGATGATGGATTGGCCTCATCAATCAAAACTGCATAGTTCAGTGGCTTTTATACCTTTCCATTGTAGGACTCCATATGACGACCTCCTCTTTTAGCGACTCCATTGTTCTTGTTTCAACTACTTGGTTTGGTGATTAGATTTCTCTTAATTGGTCCTTTACATGTGTTAACCCTATGCAGCTAGTGTCCAAGATCATCAATTCATCAGTCCGAAGCATCAACCAAAGCTAAAGGATGTCAGACAAGTGTCATGTGGCAAAAAGTAGTTAGGGTTTCAATAGTACTTTATACACATAGGGGTGAAAGTGTAAATATAATTTTTTTTAATGGATTTACGGTTATCCGATAAAAAAATTGAGTAATACACCCTCAAACCGTTAAGCCGTTAATTATAAAATCTTAATTCGTTCACCAACTATTACCCCGATAACCCGATACAAATAAGTCAATAAGCTATCGATTCGATTCGATTAACGGTTACGGTTCGGTCTTAAACAGCCCTAATACAGCGAGAACATTTGATGGTTCAAAACTTCAAATTGTTCCGCCTAGACTAATTTACTAGACGGAAATTTGAAAATAACATTTAATATGGGTAAGCTTTGATGAATTATGACAACAATCCCATATATCACACTTGGATGTATGGTGTAGCCGTCAAGCACACGGGGGGACTTCAATCCAGAAAACACGAGGCATTGAATGCAATATGTTACTGAATTACGAAAGGTTTGCTAACTCTAATTAAGTTTACAGGGCCATGAAACAATAGCTAATGGACAAACAGAGACATGGTCTCTATCAAACATAATATCTGTGAACAAGGTGGTTCCATTTGTTAAAAAGAATGTTGTATGCTAATCAAGATTCAACATATCAAATCTCCAATCACAAGCAACTTTTCCAGGAACCAACTAGAGCTAACAAATAGCTACTGCCTTTCTCCTTTTTGACAACCTTAAACAAGCCGGTTTTGACGGTGACAATGTCGTTAAGCCGGGAACTGTAATAGCAAGCAACAAACAACAAACAACAAACAAATACTCATACTCCTAATAGATGCATTTCAAAAGTACATGTCACTGACCCTTTTGCACATGACACCAAATGAATACATTAGGTACCCAAAATAGATATATCTAAAGGTATAACAGGTATAAGGATTGAGCTCACTTCCTGTGGGAACCATGCAATGATCTTGGAGATCCCTCAAAAAGATCCAAAAGGAAGTTCTCCAAATCGTCCGCAGTATACTTTATGTGTTTATCACTTATATGGTTTGTGTGTCTTCCAACAAATGTCCTGTATGCCTGAATAACCTTGAGTGATGTTGATATTCGAAGATCTTCACGAAGTTGACTATCTGGGATCGACCATCCTGTCTGGCTCTTGTAAACATCCTCAAATGCGAGATAAAAGCTGAGTAGTCTCTCCTTGAGAAGAGTTCTCGAGATAGAATTTGAGCCTGGATTCTGTAGCCCTTCATCTCTGAGTAAAGAGAGTATAGAGCTCCATGTAGCTCTCTCGTAGCTCATTGCATGGTGTTGGAATTTCCAATTATGTTTGCGAATCCAATCATCGCCAAGTATTGTTCTTAGATTAGAATTCTTCACCTTTTCAGCCATGTAATGAATATTGTTCATTAAGAAAAGGTGACCTAGTGAGTCATCCTTGTATAACTTGGACTTATCCTCAAGGTTGCATTCCAAAATTGAAGTGAAGGATCGAAAATGTTGAGCCAGTGGAGATATATTACAGCGTCTGTCCGTGTTATCTTCTTCTCTATCGGGTGTCATGTGTGGTAAAATGGCCGCTGAATCTTCCTTCTCGTATCCCTTCAGAAGCTCATCAAGCGTTTTGCTATAATCGATAAGAGTTTTCATGTAGTTCATAACGTACCTCGTTAGATGGTGTATTCCACCACCCGGGAAAGGGTTGGCCGATATGCTGGAAGCAACAGCATTTTCAAATTCCAGAAAGGTTGCCTTTGCGCAATCGCCCAAACTTCTAAGGATGTCCTGGCATTCTGTTCTAACACATAACCCCGCCTCATCAGAGTACATAGCGTCAATATCTGGGATAAGATCTGCGAGCAGCTCATACATGTCAAGAATCCGAATCAACTTCTCCGGTTGATGAGGGCCAATAGCTATGGCTTCACCAAAGTTCAGAAGCTGTACGATTGAAGCTTTCGAGGCCTCAGCAAAGCAAACTGAACTAACTCCTTCCAGCTCGCTAAAAATCTGATCACTTATCCACTTTTCACTGGCAAGATAAATGCGCACGAATATCTTCATAGCCCGTATCCACCTCCTGATTTTGGAGTTCAACGAGTTCCATTCCATCTTCAATACATCCTCGATGCTCAACTTCTCAACTTCAAGGATGAAGAGGCAATCGTCCAAGGCATCTTTTCGGACATTGATAAATGCCTGAGAACACTCCCGGCCATAATTTGAATCGAACATCAAATTGGCGATGCATCTTAAGTCAGGAATAACATCCGGATGCACGAGTTCGATGATGTACTCCTCAAAGCTCCTACTCATGCTATCTCTTTGAACCACATCCTCAACCGAGTCATCCCCAAAAGACACAATAGAGCCATCATCTAATGTATCATCCTCGCTTGAACGAAAAGACATATGCTCAGGCTCAAAAGGCTGCCTGTTCTGAACAAGCAAATGAGTAAACTCCTCCTCAAGCCGATTCATTGCTGTTTGAAGAAGATCATGAGCCTTGCGCAAAAGCTCGTCTTCTCTACTACCTTTATCCACATTCAAACCCTCCAATCTCTCGATCAATTTTCGAGCTTGATCTACATACCTCAAATACTCATATGCTTCTTCTTGGCCACAATCCCAAATCATTGACTGACCCACCTCCCAATTCATGACCTTAGTCTGAACTAAGTTAAGCTGCTCCTCCAACTCAATAAACTGCTCCTCAGTTTGATCACCAGAATCCTCATCTTGGGTTTCACTCACTCTAGTTATGGAAGACAATTGGGTGCCTAAATCAGCCAGAATTTTTCTAGCATCATCGGTTAAAGTCCGATTTGACCCTAACGCTTTTACAATGTTCTGAGCAGCAGCTATTAGGTTTTCTTCCTCTTCCATTAAGGGGACTATAGTTTCACAGTCTCCCATATATCCAAGAACCAATCAAACTAGCTCAAGGCTAATCCCAAACAGGTAAAAATTGCAACTTAAAAACTTCTACCTCTTTACAAATTCAATTGGGGAAATCAAAGATATCAACAAAGAACTTCACCAAGAAAGATATCAAAGAGAATATTACCTGCAAAGATCAGTTACTTTAGAGTTAACCCAAATTCTTTTTGAGGGGAAAAAGTGAAAGACAAAAACAAAAGGATGTAGAAAATAAAAAAAGTGGGGCGGGGCGGCGGGCTATAAGAAAACAAAAAGTAGCAAATATTAGGTATAAATTAAAGTGGGGCTTTTAAAAATCAGCAAATACAATGGAGAAATGCAAGAACCAGATGAAGCTGAAAATGCACAAAGCTCAAATCTTGAATATGAAATCAGTAAAACAAGATCCACATACACAGTTATGAGCATATAGCTTATGAGCAGAGAGGGGAACTCAAAACAAAGAAGAGATAATAAGAGACTGACCCTTTTTAGCACAGTGGCAATGATCGGACAGAGAATGAAAATTCAATAGTGTTTTTCTCGGAGAAATGAAGCTGAAAATTTGTGCAGAGAACCGACTTTCCAAAAGTATGTGTGCAACATGTCGCTACTTCTTATTGGAGTAATAACTTTCTTTTTTCTTTTTTCTTTGTATGGATTTGGCCAGTGGCCCTCTGCTTTGACCTTGAGTCTTCCTGGAATATATTGAGGAAGAAGTTACCTGACATTGGTCCTTGCTTGTAAAACTGTATTTTACAATTTCAGAGTAATAATATTAGAAAAATAAGAATGTTAAAAAAAATAATTTAAAAATGTTTTCTGATCTAGAAAGATTTCAATTTCTTTAACTAATCAAAGTATATAATAAAACGGAACTAGAGAGTACTAATACAATAATACTCTTATAATGAGTATAACTTACCTAAGAGTCAATAACAAGTACTCCCTCCGGTCTATTTTAACTTTAATTTTTGTCATTTTTCTATGGTTTATAATATTTGATTTTTTCAAATATCAAGAAAGGATTAATTTTTAAGTTGTCTTTGGAGTAAAGAGCCTAGAGTATTTATTATATTTTATTTAACAAATTAAGGTTAATATGGTCAATTTTATTATTAATTAATGCTAAAATGTGATTTTCTTAATACAGTCAGACCTCTCTATAACAACATCCTTATATAACAACACTTCACTGTAAAAGTCAAGCTTTTCCGAAACCAATTTTTATGTTATGTTATAATATATGTTCTCTATATCAGCACTTCGCTATAATATCCAGAAAAAATCGGAACAAACGATGTTGTTATAGAGAGGTTTGACTGTATGTGTGAAAACAATAAAAAAATTAATCAAAATGGATAGGAGAGAGTAATTTTTTTATAATAAATATAAATTAATAACGTATAAAGCAAAGCAAGTAATCTGCGAAAACCAATAAAATTAAAAAAAAATCAATAATTTTACTTAAATTCATAATAAATTGAGCTTAGACTTTAGGATGATTGTAAAGAGTGGAAAATTTATTTCAAATCTTGGTCTAATTAATTGCTTCTAGAGTAATAGTACTACAATATTATGGGAAAACGTTAGTTGTTGGCTTTTAATGGTTAAAAAGGACAGATGGAAGATAAGCTGAATAAAGCCAAGATAACCAAAATTCAGATACTTTGATTGTTGCTGGAAAAAGAAATGGTACTTTGATTGTGGACGAAAAAGGGGAAGAAAAGTCGCGAGACCAACACTGGGGCAAATCTTTCCAACTTTGAAAACAGTAGTCTTATTGTTTTATTTTTTTATTTTTTTTTATTTTTGTAAAATAGTGACTACAGCAAACAATTTATTCATCTTCTTTCTTGTTAGGATGATTCGGATTTCATAAACAATCAACTTTGTTCTTAATTACGTTACGTAAACTACTATTAGCTTGTATTTGATAAGTACACTTTAGGTTGTATTTTTCTATCATTTTCAAATGCCATTTTGATGATTCAAATCTGAGATCTCAAGATTTAGGCTAGACCAGAATTATTGCGTTATGAGCCAATAGACAAAGTTTAAATTCGCCTTAGAAATGTAAAGTTTGTCAAACAATCTCGATTTAACTAACCTGGAACTTCGGTTTTTTTAATATTTTGTCCGAAGGAGGCGTTTAACTTTAATTATATGCACTGTTACACCTTTAATTTTTTCTGCTATAATGATATTCGAGTCAGTTTGCATACACTTTGACTATTTCACCTGGTGCCTATTGGTTTTCATGCTCTTGAACCATTTCATCGCGTACCTATTATCTCTCAATGTGCGCACATGTATTAAGAAACTCGGGCTCCAAAACCTAAGCATATGGAAAGAAATCAATTAGTGTTCTTTACCAGCACTATGATGATCAAATGAAATTTATGTGACGACATACAGCAAAATGGAAAAGGTGTTGGTTAACAACAATCTTTTTGTTTTGAATTAGATTAAATGGACAGGTAAAATACTTTTCATTGCTAGTTGGTTATTTTGAGAGATTTAGTTTTGTGTATTAATGGTATATAAGAACTATTTACATAAGCATATCACCGAATAAAAAAAGAGAAATTTTCATAAAGTACTATCTTTTAGTAGTAATTAGTCATTTATAGATACTATTTGCTATATTACGGATTATAGATACATTTTATGTGGTTATAAGATGTATTTGATGTATTTAAGCTATTGTATTCATGAATACAGTAGCAAAAATAGACGTGAATCAGGGAAGTCCAGCTAATCAGTTGTTGTATTCCATTGTATTCATGGAGTGAAACATGGGATTACAGCTGGACAGATTATTGTATTCGACTGTATTCACGGCGTGAAATAGGGGATTGCACTGTTTTTAAAACAGAAAGTGAATCAATTAACATAATAGACTCCTAATATAACTCAACAAACTCAATTATAACACGCAAATTTTGTATTTTCAGTTGTAAAAAAGATTCTCAACCGAAAATGCCCCAAAAACATAGCAATCTTCAGAGAAATTATATAATACATCTGAAATCATAAATTATATTAATTAAAAAAACTTATGAATACATTCATGGCATATAGTGAGACAGTGAATACAATGAAATACATAGAATACAGCGGGATACATTGAAATACAATGAGAAAAAAGACAGTGAATACAATAAAATACATGGAATACAATGAGACACATTGAATTACAATGAAATACATGAAAATACATTGAATTATATTAACAGAAAATCAAGTTGCTCAACCCCAAACTCCATCATCTTTGTTCAAGAACAAACCAACCGGATTATATGTCGACAGCTGCTGTCTTTGCAATCTTTAGGTTGCTAATGCCATTTAGTATAAAAATTATCAGGTCTACCATTCTCAGAACAACGAAAGCCTTCATCCAAAAACTTACAATCGTTTGATTTATATACTGGATTACTTTCATCCCAAACCCAATTCCCATCAAAAAGATCACAACTTTCTGCTCCCTTTTCCAAAAAATCCAACTTTTCAATCTTATTATATGGAACAGACGATCCATTGAGCCCAATTCACGTAGCAAACAAGGATGTTTGCTGATACAAACGAGGCCCTTTGTTTACTTTTCTGTAATCCAACAAAAACAGACACAAGAATAAGCAAACATTGAAGAAAAAGCAGCCAAATATACCTGGTGATGACTCAAAAAGCTTCAAGTGTTTGAATTTCTTGAAAATTTTAAATTGGGTCATTGTGTTGAAGAATCTAGAAGATGGGCTTTGCACAATTCCGGTGGAAGGAGGAGGATATCGGAAATTTTAATGGGATGGGGAAGAGAATGGGATGTATCAAAGTAGAGAGAGAAAGAAAATAGTGTAACTGATTAGCGTATTTAGTGGCTTAGGGCTAGGAGGTAACCAAAATTAAATATTTTGCTATAAACCTTAAAAGGTATCTATAGAATATAAATTTTTTTAAATGGTATTTATTTAAAATAAATAATGTGTTAACCTTTGCTATATGAGGTAAAAATTCCTAAAAAAAAGAAGACAAAATGACATAAGGGCCCCTAAATTTGTAGTGGTATTTCAATCTGGTAACGAAACTTACGGGTTTCCCATTTAAGTACTCTTGCTTGACCAAATGAGCATTAATAAAAATATTTTAATATGCTATAATATGTTAAATTATATGAATAATATAAAAATCTTTATGTGTATTGTCATTATATATAATCTAAATCCTTAATCAAAAGAACTTAACTTACTTCTTTAAAGTTCTTTTATCTAATAAAGGAGAATAAGCACACAGGATAATAATTCATTTAGATATTTGGGGATCCCCATATATATATATATAACGTGAAAGCGCTACTTTTGTGCCAATTATTTCATTTAGATATGAATTAACTATCAAAGTCATTTGTTATAAGTATTTTCATTTTCCGAGATATTATACCTACGCAAGTAATTAAATGTCAAATTATAAAGTCATAAATTTGTACTATATAAGATCCTTCAATATTAAATTATTAATAGCAACAAGTAAGTTAAATAAGTAATAATGGTCAAGCCCAAAATACTTTTTGTATATGTACTAAAATTATTTACCTAAGTTATAGCTATTCTTCAAAAACTTGCTGGAAAAAGTTCAAGTAATATTTACAGTACTAGTCTTAGGGTACCTCGTATTAATGAATATATATTTTTAAAAATCACAAAAAAAAAATTGAGTTATAAAACAAAAAGCATATTTTTTGAAAATGATGAATATTGATATCATTAGCTAACTCAAATAAAGAAAGAAATCCTTCTCTATAAAAATCCTTAAATATTTTATTCTCATTTCGAAAGACTTTTGCAGGAATATCTTATGATATTTATAGTTATGTATGTGACCTAATCTTAAAAACAAGAAAGTAACGCATAAATATTATTATCAAGATTCTTTAAGGATTTATCAAGTAAAACCTATTTAAAAATTAAATCTTTTCTTTTTTCTCTTTAGAGATTTGAAAATGAAGAGGTTGTCTTTATAGCTCAAGAAAAAATTGATAACTATAGTATAAAATATACAAATGATTGATACTGAGTTAATATTTTACAAAACAAAATAGCTTATAAATATATTAAAAAGACACTGAAGTTGTCATTTGTTAAAATAAATTGAAATAAGAGAAAAATCATTAATAAATTTATTTCGAGTACATAATATTGTCTTCTCCTATTGTTTATTTTAACAAATGACAACTTCGGGTGTCTTTTTAATACATTGACGAGCTATTTTTTTTTTCAAAAATATTACCTCAGTAATTAATTATTTTCTATTGTCTAAATATTTTTAGTGCCAATCCTCTCTCTTATAAAAATAAATTTATGTACCCTACAAGGTCTTTTAGTTTACAAAAAATTATACTGGGATTATAATCCAAAAATCATTAAAATTAAATAAGAAACAAAAATTTATCAGATATACTTTTGATTTATAAATATTTGATTCATTGGATTAAAAATAAAATATATAGAGTATAATATCAAAATATATTTGATTTTTCCATATAAAAAACTTGGATAAAATTTTATTTTTAACTTTAATCTTGGTTTTTTAAAGGATTTTGGAATAAGCGTTTTGGAGAAGGATATTCTGGTTATTTAATTATTTTATCATGTGGATAGCTAATTTCTAAATTATTACCCCTCATAAATGTAGAAT